ACCTCCCTTTCTTCCCCTCTGTGTCTGATTATTCCCGGGAGCAGCTGAGTGGAAACATTGACATTTGAACAAAAGTCAGAATAACTGCTGGGTTCCCAGAGATCATGATCCCTGATTACAAAACAGAAAGAAGTGATGTCAAACACTGCAGGCATTCTTTGAAGTAAATGCGAAACAAAGTAACAGGCCAAGGAAAGAAATTAAATTAATGAGACAAGAAATCCGCAACATTAGTGATTCCCAGGCCAGGACAGATTCTTGTGATATAAACTTGTTGCTCCAAAAATAGCTCTGTCCATTCCTTTTTGTCTTGCATATTACAAAATGTTTTCCACAGAATTACAGCCTCAGCGGTTCCAATAGTTGGCTGGTCCATGATGTAGGCTAAGTCCCAATCTCAGGAATACAAATGTACCCTCCACCAAAGCATTCCCCTTCATTCTTTCTAGTATTCCTAACAAGAATTCTCAGTTTTCCTTACAGAAGAAATGTTTCTGCCTCTCCTTCTTTTACTTGTAGGTTGACATGAAAGTGTTACAGCCTTTACAAACTCAATCTCTCATATCCATTGTGAATTGAAGCCTCTAGTATAGAGGAACCCAGAGAAGCCATCTGGTTTTTTTTCTTTTTCTTTCAAATGCATTGCCATTTGTCAAATATAAGGAAAACAAATCTGGCATTATTTCTTCTTTGGTGACTTTTGGCTGCTGTCTCCAATGTTCAAACAGACCACCCCACCTCCAGACAAAAGAACAGATTTCAGCCTGTTTATTTCTATAAGATCCAACCAAAGCATATTAATTTCATGGGTTTTACAATAGTCAGTGACAGACATGGTGTTGGGTTTGTAGCCAGAACTCATGATTTCCCCCCTCCTCCCATGCTTATAATTCCTATTTCATATATTTTGCTAATCTATATAAACTTATATAAGTTTAGGGAAATGATGCAGGTTCCTTCAATCCATCCTGTTCCACATGCATTGCCTCTATTTCATATGGAGGGTTTCCCAGAAAGAGAAATGTGGTCGGCCAATGGGGAACAATTGAAGGATTCATTTGACTAAATGAAAATATTTGAGGCTGGACTAGAAGACCTCCAAGGTCCCTTCCAACTCTGTTATTCTGTTCTGTTAATGGATGTTTGAGAGAGTCTAAGGCTTGAAAGCAATTTGTGTTACTGATAAATAACATTATTAAATTGAAACAGATAAGCTTTGGAATCCCCCTGAAATAATTCCTATTTCCATGGAACAGACCTGAGGTCACAAGTTCTAAACATTACCAAAAACAATCTCTATAGTTCCAAGGAAAGGATTTGGGGGCACCAGGGCAAAAGCACTTGAGGACATCTCTTATTATCCCCAAAGCAACTCTAACATTTATAATATTGGATCCCATTTCTTTTATTCTTCATTAGAACCTTAACTATAAAGAGGACTGGAAGTTAGTCACCATCTTCATCGGAGTCAATGACCTCTGTCAACACTGTTTAGATAAGGTATGTCAGCAGGATATTTGTAGGCAAACCTATTAAAACTAAGCCTTATTAATCCTACAATAGCATCATTCTTCAAATTCTAGCTATTCGATAAAATGATTGTTAAAATTCACTTTGAGAGAGAACTGATAATTTATTATTTTATTTATTAGGTTTTTTATCTTGATTTTATTACTTTTTAAGTCACTCAAGGCAGCAAACATACATAAATTCCCTCCTATTCTCTCTGCAACAACTACCCTGGACTGAGGGAGAGTGACTGGCCCGAAGTCAACCAGCTGACTTTTCATGCCTTTGGTGGGACTGGAACTTATAGTCCCCTGGTTTCTAGGCCAGCACCCTAAATCACTACACCAAACTGATTCAGCTGTTTTCAGACATTCGCAAGAATCCTCTATTTATTTGCAAAATAAAATTTGAAAAGAGAAAGAATTGAGAAATCAAAACAAATGGAATACTTTAAAAAAATTAATCTGAAAAAAATTCAGAGAAGTAGCAGTTCTATAGCAAAACAGAAGAATCTTTTTCAATGTTGAAAATCAATTTGGATTAATCATTTTTGTATATATACCATGGGATATTGAGATTCTATAGAATAAAAGTACACATTTACAGATTTATTTTAACAAAGATCATTTTAAGAAAAATCATTTGTTTTAACAAAGATCTTATCAGAAAAGACCAGCAGAGATTCAGATAACAATACTTAAATTTTCTGTTTGTGAACTTTATTTTAAATTTGTAAAATATATTTTTGCCCTTTTTTGAATAATAATTGTCAAACCACATTTCAGATTTTGAACATTATTGCAAATTATACCTTCTTTCTTGACTTACACAAACCTCATTTTATTTTCATATAAAGATTTTAAATTGGCTTACAATCCTTTTAGTTGGTTGAGGCAACTAAACTGCTTTCTAGCAACTTTATAAAGCATTAAAATACTCTTCCCATCTCTGTTCCCTCCAGATGTGTTGAGCTGGTTGGCTCAGGCTGCATGAAACCAATTAAACAAACTTTATAACCAATATTGAAGAAAAGAATAAGAGCAAAAATTAAAAGTGAATGGAGCAGCAAAATTACACTGTCAATATTCCTATTGAGCAGTACCGAAATTCAAATTAAATAATATTTTTCACTCTGCCAAGAAAGGATAGGGCTACAATACAGCGTACCCTGTATTAGAGCACATTGCTTTAGAAAGGAGTTTTAAAAGGAAGGATTACTGTGAAAGGAATGCCTTATTTTAATTGATAGTACTTTAACATTTTTAAGGAGATAGGTAAAAACCAGAATCTCAGATTGTTATGATTTGTGATCATTATAATAATGCATCATAAATACATGGCATTTTTATGAGTATAAAATATACCCTATATAGAGAACTTGGGCAAATCAAGTTGTTTCGTGGACATTCCATATGGGTGAGCATTAGGGATTGTCAAAGATAGCATGAATAATCTGGTATTCTATCTTTTTCAGGAGGCATATTCAGTGGAAAAATATATAAAGCACCTCCAGGAAGCTCTTGATATTCTTTACAAGGAGGTAAGAGTTTGAGACACTCTAGACGGCTGAATTCTTGCCACCTCTATTAAATGTTGCTTACTCCCTTGGCATTTCCATGATTATTTTTCATTCCCACCATTCTATCCAAGTAGCTGGCATCAGTACAAACATCACTGAAGGATCATCCGGTGAATATGAAAACTAATGGTCAGGGACATGGATGGAATTGTAATATGAGGAAAATGACACCATGTTGCTATATTTTCATCACCTCAGATAACATGGAACTGGTTCCCTAAAGTGTACTATAAAAATAAAGACCTTCTGCTTGAGACAGCAGATGACACATTGTCATGCTGGTTTTGTGAATTTTCAGTATCCCAGTTTCTTTACTGGTACTGAGTTATGGATATTGGTGAAATAATTCAGGAAAGGATGAAGTAGAGTTTGTTCAGTTATCTTGAGGTTATGATCAGTCTAAAATTCCCCAATTTCATCTGTTGTTATCTTTTAATTCCATTTAAAATTGTGAGCAAAACAAACGTCAAAGCATACAGGTCGAGTTTGAACTGAGCTGCTTTCCCAGTAGTTCTGTTTTCCCCTTTCCCTAGGGCCATAGCCAAAGTAGGTGGCATTAATGTGTGGTCTGTTATGTCTATTAAAAAAAGCTTTGAGTTGCCAAAATTATGCAGTCATCTTTAATGCCTGTAGAAAAAGCATTCCATCTTAGCAGAACTTACCTTCTGGTTGATTCGGTTTTAGCTACAATGTAAATATCATGCATAATATATTAGTGATGTGCAATAGCTCACTGCTGTTCATTTTTTTCTACTTCCTGGTCTGTGGGTTACACAAAGGCCAGGTACACTCAGAATTAATCTGTGTATAACCTTTCCGTGTTGTTTGTTGACCAGCTTGTGCTTTGGGGGATCAATAAAGCTAGTTATTTTCATTCCTGCAGCTCCCTCGGGCCTTTGTCAACATGGTGGAAATAATGGAGCTCACTGGACTGCGCCAGATAGAAAGGGAAGAATCCAAATGCATCCTTCCAGGGGTGTAAGTAAGCAGACCATGCATAGTAGTCTGAGCTGAATTCTATTTTTAAGGCTAATCTGTATCTTCTTCATTCATAAAGCAGCCACAAAGAACTTTAAAATCTGTGCTGTCAGATACTATTGGATTTGGGAGCTGTGAAGCAGCAGATGATCCAAATATAACGCTGGGTTTTTCTGTAACTCACATGGGAGCAGCTTCTATTGATTTCTTTTAGAGATGCAGCTATTTAAGAGAGATAACTTTGAGTTCCAGGTTTTTCTGTTCAGATAAAAACAAAACTGAACACAATCCACAAAACCAGAACAAAGACTTTAAAAGTATCTTGATTACAATGTCTTCTACTTCTTATCTCAGTAACCACATCACAACAAACTCATTATTTTTGCTTGGTGCAGTGAAGTGTTTTGATCATATTGCTAGTTTCATTCTCCAAGGTAAAAACAATGTGGAGCTTCAATATTTTTCTTGGAAACTTGCCTGGGATTTGGACCTTCTAAAGGAGGGATCAATGGTTTTCCATGTATTGATAACTAGCTCTAAGTAGCATTAACCAATCTAGCCAGCAATGGAGAATTCTGGGAACTGTAGTTCAGCAACAGTTAAAGGGCCATATGCTGGTTAGAGTCCAATTCAATAAGCCACACAAAATTGATATCAGACAACAATAGATTTATGTGCTAAATTTGCTACATGTAAACTGGCATCTTTAGTTATAGTAACAATGTACTATCTTTAGACTAGAATAGAAGCATATTCTTCTGAGCAGTATATTATTAAGCCAAAGATCAAGAACTGCCATTATCATCCCAAACACAGAAAATGATACTGAAACTGACATGGGAAACTGACACGGATCTGCATATATTCATATTTTTTTCTAAACTCTTTAAATTTAAATTTGTTTATACTCATCTTTACTTTCAATGTTGCTCACTTTTAGGAGCCTTTGTCCATGCTTTCTAAATTCCTGGGATAACTCCTCTGCTCTGCAAGAAATGGAGATAATTAACAGAGATTTTCAGGTAAAAAAATTCTTATTTATTTGATTCTAAGACCTCCACCATGCATTCTTTTAAGCAAACATCATAGGAATGAAACAAAATCTGTTATGGACTTCTTAAAAAGTGATAGTGTAATCTATCAAAATAAAACTGGTCAGAGTCAGATGTAAATAAAATTCACAGAGAATGAGATTATTAAAACATTTATCAGATTAATAATGCACTACAAATAGGGCATAACTGAAAATATTACATGGTGGGGGAGTGAATTTGAAAAAGTTGACTTTAAAGACAATTGTGCAGGGGTGGACTGCTACCGGTTCTCCCCAGTTCGAGCAAACCGGTTGTTAATTTTATGGCCAGTTCAGTGAACTGGCAAATCCCACCCCTGTCTGGCCCTGCCCACCCTGCCCCTCCCCTCCCAGGAGTCCCCATGCGGCCCATTTTGGATCCCAGCTAAGTGCAGGGCTCACGAAGAGGCTCGGGGAGGCCAAAAAACAGGCCTCCTGGAAGCTCTGAAAGGCCAGAAACAGGCCCATTTCCGCCCTCCAGAGAGCGAGGAGGGTGAAAATGCCCCCCTCCCATGGTGCAGGAGGCCAACTAGGCCATGCCCACCCTGGACATGCCCACCCAGCAACTGGGCAGAGAACCGGTTGTTAATTTTTTTGAAGCCCACCCCTGCAATTGTGTGTGTGTTGGCTTTATTTGCAGTCTAAGAAAATATAGAACATTTGATAGAACAAAGTAGTCTTTGAAAGTGGTACTCATATGGAATGGGTTTAGATTGAGGGTGAGCAAGATATAATTTTTCTCCGCGTTTGCGGGTTGGTTTCTGAACATTTTGTTACCAGGCTAGGTAACATCTTCAGTGGAGTTTAGGGGATGTCAGTGTTCTGTTTATAAGAGCTTAAGGTGTGAGGGTGTGAAGTGAGGATCTTGGGATGAGTCAGCAATAAGTCATCATGTATGATGGGTCTTGTGATAAGGAGATTACATCAGGTCAGGGTCATTGGGAGGTGAATTGCTGGTGTGTGTGTGTGTGGATTGCATGGGTTGGTTGAGGATCGTTGCTGCCTCTGGTTGGCTGTGCAGTTGATTTTGATTTTGAGGGGTTTGTAAGCTGGTTGTAGGTTAATGTGTCTGTTGATTGAATTGCTTGTGGAGTCCCAGGCTTTGATGAACTCACGAGCGTGGTAGGTGGTAGCGTGGCTGATGATTTTTGTGTTGCTCCAATCGAACTGGTGCTGTTTCGTGTTGGTGTGGGTAGGGTTTAGATTGTCTGGAGCTCCCTAATACTATATATATGAATGGTTTATTTATTTTCTAAGTGTGGATACTAGAAAGCAAAAAGGCACCATTCATACATAAATGGCTCTGGAAAAATCTTAAGTTCATCAAAGCAAACAAACACACATATGGTTGCAATAGAAGCACTTTGCAATGCATGCATTGTTTCAGGTTCTGTCTGTAGCTTGAAGTTGGAAATTTTCAAGAATGATGATCAGCCAAGGTTTCTTGTTTCAGCAGTTGCATTCTTCTTCCACATACATTCGCTTGTGACTCATATCAAATCCCGTCTCTTTTTCCCGTTACCTTTATTTTGTGTACCAATTTCTATGTTTTTAATTTTTTCTAAACACTTAACTTGCAGTATAATTTATGCCAGAAATTTAATGTGACATGACATCTGATAACACAGTTATGGAAAGTCTTACTTTGAGAACATCAAAAGCAGAGTCTTTCCATTTGTCAGAGAATTATAACGAAAGAAGATCTTTGACATTCAGGATTATAACTGAAAAGACAGCAACTGAAAAAGATGAAAATACAGTAATTAGGCAAAGTATGTTGTTGTTGTTTTAAAAAAATAGGAACCAAGTTGGATGGTTTTCTATGATACTACCCTGTTTATATCACCATTTCTTTTCTTTTCTGAGAAGCGGCAAAACAGAGGACCAAGTAGAACCATCATTTTCCACCGATGTCTCAGAAAGAGTACAATTTATTTCTGTTGATCAGAGTTGACACCCCAGAGAATCTGTATGAACTGAGTTTAAGTGTATAGTTTCTAGAAGGCAGATCTTGTTTGAGTTAGCATTGGTAAACTGGAGAAAAAAATAACCGTGAAATTTACTCCTGTTCATTTCCAAACAGATTAAAAGTGCAATGCTATTCAATGGTGACCGTTATGATCAACGGGAGGATTTTGCCGTTGTTGTGCAACCATTTTTCCGAAACACCTTCCTACCACTAGACAGTGTAAGTTGCTGTGTGTTGCTGAAGCCTTCATTATTACACCCAGATTTGTTTTACTGTGTACAAGACAGATACAAAGGGTGAGGATTACATCTTCTTTATAACATTATCTGCCTTGACTTCAAGGGAAACTGCAAAACAGAGGAGCAAGTAAGCAAAACCATCATTTCCCACCACTGTCCCAGAAACAGTACAATTTAATTCCATTGATCAGGCTTGGGGCCACAAAGAATCTGTATCAATTAAGTTTATAGATTCTAGAAGGCAGGAATTAACTGATTCTGGATTTCAGACACAAGGAACAATCTCTTAAGATAATATGTTACACTATGCATGGGCACACACACATACAGAAACTACCATGTTTAATTATAAGAATTAACTAGGTAGCCTGCAATATAAGGAGCTGAATTAAAAGGAATATTTTAAGAAGTATTTAATTTTTTTTTAAAAAAATACTGACCTAATATGCAAGGACTTATGTGTGAAGAATTAGGGCAATGCATATTACAATATTTTAGCAGGCCCATGAAAATGATAAGTGGGTTTAAAACATATTTTTTTTATTCAAGTGCATGCAATTAATTATCTAAAATAACTCTTTCCAGTTCTAGCATCACATCAATTTAGCCCTACTTTGTGTATCTCTTCACTATTATTCCATCATTTCTCAGTTGATGAATTGGAACTGGAAAGCTGAGTTGCTGAAATAGGTTGCAAGAAGATGCCAGGTGACAGGAAACCTTGGTAATTAACCCGTGATAATAAGCTTCTATGCTATTATTCACTACATTTGCAGTAATTGGAAGGAATTCTCAAAATTCACAATTTATTAGGTCTCAGAAATTATCCAGTAAAATAATTGAGCCTTGTCATCTTATATATTTAATATCTTCATTATGATATAATTTTTCGTGGATTTAAAAGCCGTGATGGCACAGTGGTTAGAATGCAGTGCTACAGGCTACTTTTGCTAACTATTAGCTGACTGCAGTTCGGCAGTTTGATTCTCAGCAGCTCAAGGTTGACTCAGCCTTCCATTCAGTGGTGGGATTCAAATTTTTTTCCTACTGGTTCTGTGGGTGTGGCTTGGTGGGCGTGGCATGGCTTGGTGGGTATGGCTTGGTGGATGTGGCAGGGAAAGGATACTGTAAAATCTGCCACCCCACTCTTGGGGAAAGGTTACTGCAAAATCACATTCCCTCCCCACCCCACTAACCTGCTTTCCAGCTTCGTTCTCCTGTGTAGGGTAACAAAAGAAGACTCAGCCGATCAGCTGGTACTCAGGTGGTGGAGAATAGATGGGGGTGGGGCCAGTCAGAGGTAGTACTTGCTGGTTCTTCAAAATACTCAAAATTTCCACTACCGGTTCTCCAGAACTGGTCAGAACCTGCTGAATACCACCTCTGCTTCCATCCTTCCGAGGTCGGTACAATGAGGACCCAGATTGTTGGGGTCAATATGCTGACTCTGTAAACCACTTAGAGGACTGTAAAGCATGGTGAAGCAGTATATAAATCTAAGTGCTATTGCTAAGTCCATCGGATTTAAAGCAAGAATTTATTAGCTTCAAAAATAGTATTTCACACAATTGTAAGTTTTCTCTCATCTTTTCATTTTTGAACAGTAACTTATTTGCTTTCTATCCTTAGGTACTGAGAGCCTCTGATTGCCAAAGTGGCCTAGTGGATTAAAATAGTGCAAACATTTAAATTAAAACCAAAAATATTGAAAACAATTTAAAACAACAATTAAAAGTTTATATTAATAGCTTTTTAGAAGTGAACAAAGCAGTTAGACCTATCTATTCAGCCAGGAGTGCATTCCAAAGAGTTTGACCTCCTTCACCTGAAAAGCTTACTGTAACAGGGGGGATAATTCTTCAACGCACCTCTAATGACCGTGTGTGTGTTTGTGTTTACTGGGAGTGGGAATCATACAAAATGAGGCAATCTTTCAAAAGCCTACAACTAAATCGTAGTCAGCTTTCAAGACAGCTATACCAGTGCTTTATCCTATTCATGAAGTACCTATGTAATTTGTGAGAATTGATGCTGACTTGGCAGCACATAATCAATCAAATGTCAGTGCTAAATTTTCACTCAGAAGTAAGATAAATACAGGGGACTGGATATAGATTTTAATCCTGTGTTAGGCGCTGGAGGGAAAATACCCTCCATCTTAATATAGTCATCCCTCTTTTTTTTCAAAGTAAGAAAAAGCACTGTGGTAGTTGCATCCTGTCTATGGACTTGAAGCATTATGGCTCTACAAATTTCAGAAGGTGTGTGTGTGTGTGTGTGTGTGTGTGTGTGTGTGTAAAATGAGAAAAGCCAATTGATAACTGGTGGTTGCTGGAACAGCTATATTTATAATCTGTAACTTGTCTTGGTAGGTAAGATTTGACTAGCAAATCTTGGCTCAGAAACAGAAGACAAGGAGCCAAAATGTACATGAGAAATGCCAGGGATTTTCTAACAAGGAATAAATGATTATCTGAAATAATGATTTGTATTAAACCATAGGATGGGAAACCAGACCTGAGTTTCTTTGCAGTGGATTGCTTTCATTTCTCTGAGAGAGCTCATGCTGAGATGGCTGTGGCACTCTGGAATAATATGGTAAGTGAATCATAGAGTCCCTGGATTCAAAGGGACCTCAGAACTCACCTAAGGCTTAGTCTCACAGCCATCTTAATGTGTTTTCCTCCTGTCCTTGACATGGAAGAG